GAGACCAGTCGGATGGTATTACGTGCAGTTCCCAGATTCTACCTAAGATCTCAGTCAACCTAGCTGCTAAAACTGGACCACCATCCTTAAATATCTCAGGCGTCAGTCTATCAGGACCTGCAGCTCGTCCTCGTTTCAGATTTCCTAACGCTTTCTCAACGTCATTAAGACTAGGGGGACTTACGTCGATTTGCCATTCAGGATGACTGGAGATCGTGGGTAACCGAAGAGTGGCTCGTGGCCAGTTGAACTGATCTCTAAAGTGTTCTGCCCATCGATCCAGTCTCCTGGATTGAGAATGGATAATAAGACCATCCTTTTCCGAGATAGTCTCACTCACATTCGGGTTCTTAATACCAGTTTCTTTAATAAGGCGGAAAAGTTGTCTACTGTTGCCGATCGCCGCTGCCTTTTCCATCTCTTTGCCTTCGCCACCCACCACTGTTCGCGGTCGTTACGTAGGCTTTTTATCAGCCTGCGCCTAAGTTGACTTCGTTCTTCATCATGTTCAGATCCAGGTGGGATGAGTTTTCGGGCATCCATCAGATCGGTGGATGCTACAGAGATCCATGGCTTCATTCTAGCCTTCTGGTTAACCTTACTAGCAGATATCGCTGCTGTTTCCACAGCCTTCTTGATATCCTTCCAACCTGCGCCCGGATGGGAATCGCTTAAATGGTCGCCTAACTGTCTTTCTAGTTGTTCCTGGAATATATTCTTTGCCCTATTATCATTAAGTAAAACCCTAAGAGGCTTTCTTACGGTGTCTTTCCTACGCCCAGTAAGCTTCAAACAAATACGCGCTCGCACTAGGGCATGATCTGAATCTAAACATGTGCCCCAGAACGAGCGACAGTCCTCTATCGAACCCCTCCATCGGTGGCTGATGGCGATGTGATCTAGTTGGGTCCAATGTTGAGACGACTCCGGCGGTCTCCAGGTCAAGATATGCTTTTCCTTATGCCTAAAGTTAGTGTTTGCTAGGAATAGGCGGTTATCTGAGCATAGTTGCAACAAACGGTCGCCATTGTCTGTCCTCTGAGCTGCGACACCATAACATCCACCTAGGTGTCTTTCATTTTCACTTAGTCTACCTACTTGAGCATTAAAGTCACCAGCCATTATTACTACATCAGAGCGCCTAGCTTTTTGGAGGAGGTCCGAAAGCCTTCTGTAAAACTCATCTCTAACCTCGTCTGAACTGCAGTCAGTGGGGGTATAGGCAGATACGATGAAGAGGCAACGGCGAGTGTCCCTATCTTTCCGAGTCCTTACTGTCCCGTTTAGTCGGACAGCGCACAAGCGACTATCTACAGGGATCCAGTCAAGGAGAGATTGTTCAGCTCTACGACTCAATGCTATGCCTACGCCAGCGAGACCCCTGGAAGCAGCATCAGGGCTACCGGATACACGAAGAGTAAATCGAGCTGCTGCATAAGCATTTGACTTTTTCGCTATACCAACACTATAGGAGCATATTTCTTCGGAAACCTGAAAGACACAGAATTACTGTTGATGGTTCCAAAGACTTGAAAATGTGACCATAGAAATATCTGCCTAAAACTGACAACCTACTGTTAGTTATTTTTTTGTTTTGGCTACACACTGTTGAAGCTTACAGTTAGTACTGATAATTCGTAGGGCGGAGTGTTTTTTCAGGGCCATTTTTCCTAGCTTGTACAAATATTCTGGTTATTCGCGCAAATACCACTGCCTCCACACTCAACTGACTAGCACTCAATCGAGTCATCGTAATGTAAAGCCAGACTATCACATTATGTTAGTACCTGCGGTCTTAACTTAAACCCCTTCTATTTTGAGACCTTTTTCTGATCTATCTTCCCGGATGAAGGTTAGGATTTATACTCGCACTGATTACATGAAAATCTACTGAAAAACAAGTTTAAGTATATTTAAAGTGCTAATTATAGACCACCTTTCAATGCATAGAAAACAGAATACCTAAAAACGTATGGTTCTCATCCATGCAATTCATGTTTTCTTATCTCTTAACCAAAATTTTTTTGCATATTTACATACGTTTATGGTGATTGTTTTGTTTGTCATGCTACATTTTTGTAGTTTATGACCCTTAATATACATCTATTTTTATGGTTTGTTCTGATTAAAAATTGAGGAGTCTGCATGTTCATATCATAAGTTATAGTATTTTACCTCTACAGTATTCGTGTTTTTGATTAACTGTCTTAGTCTAAAAGTGCTGATGGAGTCCCGTATTGTGAATCTGTTGTTCGACATTATCCTGAAAGCACTGAATTCCAGCTCTACCAAGCTGAAGCTTACATGAATGCTGACCGTTTTCAAGATGGTAAGACTTTGTACAAGAATGTTTTTAACTGTATTTTAAGTTAAAATCTTTTTAATTAAATTTGGTAATGTTCTACATCTTTAAAGTTGATAGATCCATTGTTTCGGTGTATTGTCGTCAGCAAAATAGAATCCTACTCAATAACCTATTAATTCGAATAGTCAAACCTGATCGTTTCTGCTACCTTAACGTGATGACGGGGTTTACCTATCGTGTTTATCGAACCGACTTATATTGTCCGGAACACCTGTCCCCTTAGATTCTACTGTGTCATGCAGGTTGGTTTGCAAGCGGTAAGACTAAGAGCAGCAAGTTGGGTTCCGAGAGCAAACTCGTACTAATGGCTGTACTGGGGATGAAAGTTGTAAAATGTTTCCCTCTGACAACCAGGTTTTGCAGCGATGCTACCCTCCCAGACGACAAAAGGGTTAGAAAAGATCAGGTTTGAAAGTTCTACACTTCATCATACCCACGGATCTCTATCTCCGTCAATAAAGCCTTTTAAACTGCGAAGCTAACCCCTCGAATTATCCAGTAGGAAGTTTGGCATGACAGTAGTTCTAAGTGGAAACGATCTGCGTCAACAAATACAGTCGGAAATTTCAAAATCGGTGTTATTTTTAGATGTTGATTGATGATAAGAACATTATGACAATTTAAAATGAACGATAAATTAACTATTTGACTTAATGAATGATGTTTACTGTTACACTATCCCTCATTCTGATCACATCTACCTGCAGTTTCAACATTGAATGATATTTTACACAAATGACAGAATACCAGCGTCTCAACCGTTAAGAAATTCTTCACGCTTACCGATACGGTTCATTTAAAAAGGTTTGGGATTGAGTGGCCCCTCTGAGAAAAATAATTGCTTCTGTTTGAGCAGGCGAGTAGTATGCTATCTCTCAATCAAATTCAATGATTTGTGTGGTACATGTATATTTTGGTGCCTCTTTGTACCAATGTTCATGTGTTCAAATAAATAAAGTTTTGCCTTGTGCTCTATGGTACTCTTGGTATTCTGAGTTTATTTAACACTTAAAACTGCATCACTCGATTCCCTAAACTATCACATCACATATGGTCTCTGTTCCAAGTACATAGATAAGTTATAAAACCCGTAGGTGTTGCTCAACTACTGTCGATCACGAGAAACTCAAACCATCATTTTGAGCTCATTCTAGTCCATGTATGACCAGCTTAAGAGATTTTTGTACCTCCAATTTATCACATTTCAAGCTCCTTGCTTTCTTACTTAATTATCTCCATACACGTGAATTTCCGACTCTCTTGTATTGATTCTGTACAAGCAGTCTTCTGTCTCAACGCAACTGACATAATTTGCGCCAACTGCTGTACTGTACCTTCCAGACTTTGAAGCATTATTTATACTCTTATTTGAAATTTGTTAGACCTATATGGAAAACCAGTGTACCTTGTAAAAGATCCATCCAACCTATTACAGTCAGCGTGTTGCAAAGTTTAGGAAATTGAGCTTGTTTGTACATTGGCATGCCTCATGTAATACATTGCTGGTCGAGAATAAATCTTATCATTATTATTCTCCGACAAGCCGATAAAGCAAATGGAAAACGAGATCGAACTCCAACCACTAAACGAAATGTGCCATCACTCCAACCTAACCAAAAAGCTGATTATCTGGTGAGAGTTCGTGAAGGTTCCCTAAGCACCATGATCATAATAGCGGTCTACACGACTGTTATCACTCATAAACTTATTTTCTTTCTAGCAACTCAGTTTCAGGAGTGGCCGATGATTAATCGTCCCTGGCATCAAGTTGAAATCCGATGTAATATACCTTGACGTCAAAAGATTTTGATAGGTTCAACTATATTTGTCTCATCAGTAAGTCGAATCTTTTAGGTGAAAAACCATATTTTATAGACCGGTTTACCATTTTGTTTGGTAATCAACATTTTAGGATCAAGGTGAACTTTAATTTTCCAGAGGCTATATACTATCCTAACGGAGTCCCTCACGATTTCGAACCAACACCTTACATCTATTTTATCTATAGAAATGAGCCTCCTTAATAAGTATTTTCTGAGTTATTGTTTTTCTATAATTATGTTAAATTTTAGAGAGATATTCGCAGCTAAGCTCGCAAGTTGGCACATTAGGTGGATTTGACTCGATCTCAAATTTGGGTAGATAACTGTGAACTTCAAAGCACAACACAGTTCATTGAAGACACACCTCAGACTAACTCAGGTAACTCTATTCTGGTGTTTTACCAAGTTAAAACCGATCCAGGAAGGTCGTGCTCTGTGATTTAAAGTCTTACGCAGTGAAAAAAGCCTTTTGGGCAAACCTTGTACAGGTGACGCTGGTGGGTAATTTTGGCTTTCCATTTTAACAGCTTTATTTGGCCCCATTTAGAGCACAGAAATATAGCGTTTCCTCCCTTAATTCGAAGGAACAAAAATACACCTGAACGTATTCAATCAGTTCAAAGATTCCTATTTAATTATTTAAATGAGCACCTCAGATAACCGGACATTTATTTATTAGAGTATAGGAGTTTCAGTTAGTCTTACATCAACTAAAAGTATTCTAAGCACTCCCATGCATCCTATAAAACAAATAAACCCAGTCTCAACATAATCAAAAGCATACCATTTTCGAAGTGCTTGTTGTAAATTTAATGGGTCAAGGTAACTACAGCGAAACTGAGGGAAATTCAGCTGGACGCGCTGTAACACTCGTATTCAGCAGACACTGAAGGGCGCAAACGATCTGAAATCAAAACACACAAGGTTAGTTTAACACCTCACACAAAGAGAGAACACGAAGTGTTAGCCACGGCACTTTTTTTATTTTAAAATTAAAGTACGCGGGGTTTGTACAGAAACGGGTGGCTAGTTTACCAAAGTCATCCTGTAAGTTTAGTGCACACAGGGCTTGTTCTTCAGCTTCCGAAGCGTTTATGTTTGATCGCACTGAAATAGAAAAAAAACGGGTTAGCAACATCATACATGGTGTTTTTGACTCAGTTACAGCGCTGTAACATAGAAATCGGGACTTAGTTGAGTACATTTCGAGTGAGGATAAGTCACATGTTTTTACATCACCTTAAAATACCATAGCCAGTGATAAATAATACTCAGCTGTAAATATTTTTGAAGCATCCTTGTTATACGGTTGATTGATGCGATTTTTGATATCTGTTTTAGTTTTAACAAGATAAGAGGCTAGATAACCAGTGTTAGTTCTAGCAGCTTTGATCATTTAGTTGGTTCTAATTCCCTCGATTGCGTCGAAAGATGGAGCTTCAATTAGATCATGGCCTAACGAGTTCCACTGGTTGATGATTCGGTGGAAAAGTCGGTAGTCAGCTAAAAAATAATTTGTTCTTGTCTTGTGAGCATTTTTAATGTCTTTGTTAATTCTCTGTTTCGAAAGGCCTATAAAATGAAGGTGTGTAAGATGCCGATTCATCAGCAAGTAATTTAAAAACTGATTAGATCACCTAGTCCTTCCCTGCCCGTAGATGCTACCTTGACGTGGTGGTCATGCTTGCCCATCGTGATGACCCAACCGAGCTGTATTAGCTGCAGCATATGTTCCGGTAGGTCCTACCATGCCAGGCTGGTCGATTGGAGAACGATGAGACTAAAAGCAGCTACTCAAGGTCTGAGGGCGAAGTCGTACTGCTAACTGCAGAGGGGTGTGACAGCAGTAAGGTGTTTCTGTCGAACAACTAGCATCTGCAGCGATGCTGCCTTCTCACAAGGAAGAAAGGGTTAGTAAAGGTTGATCATAAGAATGTCACACCTCATCTTACTTCACGGATTTCCGTCTCCGGCGGTAACACCTTTTAAACAAGAACGAGCTAATACTATAAACACAAAGACGCCGTGCGTAACCGGCCTCAAGCTGTTGTCCCTTGGAATCTGCCTTCTCACAAGGAAGGAAGGGTTAAAAAAGGTCGGCCCTCAAAATGCCACACCTGACCCTACCTCACGGATAAGATGACAATGTCAGTACAGCGAAAAAGCGAAGCTCCATTTGTCGTCATGACTGACGCGTCGAACATCGCTGTTGGGACCGAATTACAGCAGTTCATAAACTGCATATGGGAACCAATTTCATATTTTTCAAAGAGATTAAGTCCCACTCAGACGAGATATAGTACGTTCGGAAGACAACTGCTGGCAATTTACTGGGCGATAAAGCAATTTTGACATATGCTTGAAGGTACCATTTTCACAGTGAACACATCATAAACCCCTCAAGAAAGCATTAAACGCCAAGCACGACAACTATTCGCCGAGGGAAATTCGACAATTGGAGTTTATTTCCCAATTTACGTCTAGCATACAATATATTAAAGGTCATGACAACGAAGTAGCAGATGCACTAGCAGGAACGATGATTAACGCCTTTATCCAATCCTTCTCACAAGGAAGAAAGGGTTAGTAAAGGTTGATCATAAGAATGTCACACCTCATCTTACTTCACGGATTTCCGTCTCCGGCGGTAAGGGTGCCCACTAAGGGCTCTCAGGAGCGGAGCAAATACTCAAAAAACCCTTCATGGAAAGGCTGTGCGTGACCGGCATCAAGCTGTAGTCCCTTGGAATCTGCGGTCACGCTCCCGGGTCTCTAAAACCAACACTAATCTATCTTCCTTTCCAGGTCCCTCAAGAAACAACCTTCAATGGTGTGGGCAGCCGGGAATTGACGAAATCGGTCGAAATCAAATCCTTCCTACACCAACACACACCTCTCTTCTCTCCACTACTAACTCTACTCACATTCCTGTATCACAGTGCAAAGCTAATGCGAACGAGGCGAGCTCATCCACCGATATGATGGATGCCCGAAAACTCATCCCACCTGGCTCTGAACATGATGAAGAACGAAGTCAACTTAGGCGCAGGCTGATAAAAAGCCTGCGCAACGGTCGGGAACAGTGGTGGGTGGAGAGTGGCTCGAGGCCAGTTGAACTGATCCTTAAAGTGTTCTGCCCATCGATCCAGTCTCCTGCATTAAGAATGGATAATAAGACCATCCTTTTCCGAAATAGTCTCACTCACATTTGGGTTCCTAATACCACTTTCCTTGATGAGTCTAAATAGTTGCCTACTGTTGCCTATCGCCGCTGCCTTTTCCATCTCTCTCGCTTTCTCCACCCACCACTGTTCTGGATCACTGCGTAGGCCTTTTGTCAGCCTACGTCCAAGCTGACTCCGCTCCTCAGAGCCAGGCGGGATGAGTTTTCGAGCATCCATCAGTTCGGTAGGTGCTACGGAGATCCACGGCTTCATTCTAGACTCATGGTCAACCTTACTAGAAGATATCACTGCTGTTTCCAAAGCCATTTTGATATCATTCCAACCTGCTTCCGGATAGGAATCGCTTACATGGTTGCCTAACTCTCTTTCTAGTTGCTCTTGAAATATATTCCTAGCTTTGTTATCATTAAGTAAAACACTAAAAGGCTTTCTTAGCCCTAAGAGGTCTACTTGCGATATTTTTCTGGCGTCCAGTAAGCTTCAAACGGATACGCGCTCGCACTAGGGCATGATCTGAATCTAAACATGTGCCCCAGAACGAGCGACAGTCCTCTATCGAACCCCTCCATCGGTGGCTGATGGCGATGTGATCTAGTTGGGTCCAATGTTGAGACGACTCCGGCGGTCTCCAGGTCAAGATATGCTTTTCCTTATGCCTAAAGTTAGTGTTTGCTAGGAATAGGCGGTTATCTGAGCATAGTTGCAACAAACGGTCGCCATTGTCTGTCCTCTGAGCTGCGACACCATAACATCCACCTAGGTGTCTTTCATTTTCACTTAGTCTACCTACTTGAGCATTAAAGTCACCAGCCATTATTACTACATCAGAGCGCCTAGCTTTTTGGAGGAGGTCCGAAAGCCTTCTGTAAAACTCATCTCTAACCTCGTCTGAACTGCAGTCAGTGGGGGTATAGGCAGATACGATGAAGAGGCAACGGCGAGTGTCCCTATCTTTCCGAGTCCTTACTGTCCCGTTTAGTCGGACAGCGCACAAGCGACTATCTACAGGGATCCAGTCAAGGAGAGATTGTTCAGCTCTACGACTCAATGCTATGCCTACGCCAGCGAGACCCCTGGAAGCAGCATCAGGGCTACCGGATACACGAAGAGTAAATCGAGCTGCTTCTTTATTCTGACAAGGTGAAATCAGATTAATAATTTTACTAGGATCCTGTTTGCGCGTTTCCGAGACGCAGCACACATCGATGGCACGAGATTCTAAAGTCCTAGCTGAGGAGGCTTGTTGTCCTATTTGACACAATATTCGTACATTAGAAGCTCCAACATGTAGACTAAAACCGGGTTTCGACATCTCGCTTCGTTTGCTGTAGCGGTGCAGTGAGATAAAGGAATGTTAGTAGAGTTAGTAGTGGAGAGAAGAGAGGTATGTGTGGGTGTAGGAAGGATTTGATTTCGACCGATTTCGTCTCGCGTGCTGTTACGGGTATGAGGGCGGTTATCACTTGCCGGCTGCCCACACCGTGGAAGGTTGTTTCTTGAGGGACCTGGAAAGGAAGATAGATTAGTGTTGGTTTTAGAGACCCGGAGCGTGACCGCAGAGTCCAAGGGACAACACTTTGAGGCCGGTCACGCACGGCCTTTTTATGAAGGGTTTTTTGAGTATTAGCTCCGCTCCTGAGAGCCCTTAGTGGGCACCCTTACCGCCGGAGACGGAAATCCGTGAGGTAGGGTGAGGTGTGACATTTTTAGGGTCGACCTTTTCTAACCCTTTCCTTCCCTGTGAGAAGGATTGGATAAAGGCGTTAATCATCGTTCCTGCTAGTGCATCTGCTACTTCGTTGTCATGACCTTTAATATATTGTATGCTAGACGTAAATTGGGAAATAAACTCCAATTGTCGAATTTCCCTCGGCGAATAGTTGTCGTGCTTGGCGTTTAATGCTTTCTTGAGGGGTTTATGATGTGTTCACTGTGAAAATGGTACCTTCAAGCATATGTCAAAATTGCTTTATCGCCCAGTAAATTGCCAGCAGTTGTCTTCCGAACGTACTATATCTCGTCTGAGTGGGACTTAATCTCTTTGAAAAATATGAAATTGGTTCCCATATGCAGTTTATGAACTGCTGTAATTCGGTCCCAACAGCGATGTTCGACGCGTCAGTCATGACGACAAATGGAGCTTCGCTTTTTCGCTGTACTGACATTGTCATCTTATCCGTGAGGTAGGGTCAGGTGTGGCATTTTGAGGGCCGACCTTTTTTAACCCTTCCTTCCTTGTGAGAAGGCAGATTCCAAGGGACAACAGCTTGAGGCCGGTTACGCACGGCGTCTTTGTGTTTATAGTATTAGCTCGTTCTTGTTTAAAAGGTGTTACCGCCGGAGACGGAAATCCGTGAAGTAAGATGAGGTGTGACATTTTTATGATCAACCTTTACTAACCCTTCCTTCCTTGTGAGAAGGCAGCATCGCTGCAGATGCTGGTTGTCCGAGGGAAACACCTTACTGCTGTCACACCCCTCTGCAGTCAGCAGTACGACTTCGCCCTCAGACCTTGAGTAGCTGCTTTTAGTCTCATCGTTCTCCAATCGACCAGCCTGGCATGGTAGGACCTGCAGGAACATATTTTCCAGCCAGTATAGCTCGGTTGGGTCATCACGATAGGCAAGCCCGTCCACCAGCTACGGTTGGGAGGCTTGTAGAGAGTTGAAACACAAATATTCCGGGCTTCACGATGTTGAGATTTCGTCTCACTATTGCTGAATGTCCTGAATCCCTCCCACATTCTTATCCTTTTACACAGGAGGGTGTGAAACTTTATCGTGCCGCGGTGAGGAATTTCTTGGATCCCTTGGTGTAGTCCAAGGAATATGCGGTGCATTAACTCTTATGAATACATTTCTTAATACCTCCCAAGCCGTTTCAATCAGGGATTCGTGTTCTATTTTCCAGTCTCTTGGGCTGTTGAGCGTAGGATATCCTGTATATTTGCTCTCCAAGCATTATGTCTGGCCTTAGCTGACACATCGTTGTTCATAACAACATAAAAATCAAAGGCTAGATTTGAGTACAAGCATTGAGCGGAAAATAATAATGCCCCCTTCATTCCAGTTGATTGAGAGTTACGAAGTCAAAATGGCAATGTCCAATCTTATTTTCAGGCTAATACATTAAAAACCTCATGCTATCAACTTCGCGTTTCTATCGTCACGCTTATGTCATTTTTGATTGTTGTAATGCTTGTTTAGATAATTCCCAGCTAAATCCTATTGCTTAGTAATCTCTGTCCACAATACACTGGACAAGTTCCAAAGAATCAAAAACACGGTTGAACAGGAAAAGATTATATTCCAAATAGCAAGGTTAGATGGAAATAAGAAGCCAAAGGTGATGGCGAAGGCGAAGGCCTCAAAAATAGATACAGCGTTAGTTTATTTATAGCATTTACATGAGAAGCTTCTGGATAGAAATTCACGTGATCGACTGGATTAGATTTAGTCAATCAGCATGCAGCTAACAATACGAGAATTTTCTATCCTGTTCTCCAAGAATCGATCAGGCGCTGATTGGATAGGAAATTGGCCAATCAGTGCGCAGCAACGTAGTCATGCTTTAATTCCATCTACCTCCCACTAACACTGATTGTTGTCAACTGTTTTCTTTATCAAGTATAAGTGCTTTATATGTGCTTACGGAGTTGTCAACTGACGTTTTCTCTTGTTCTTATCTCTTCCAGATAATCTCACATACCGATCCCAGCGCACAGGGTACCTTCGGGCTAGATGCCAACTTATCGAATACTAAACGTTGCACTGCACTCGATTTCTTTCATTATTAAATGTAAGTGCATTATGTGTTCTGAACTGTTGGCTCAGCTCGCAAAAGATCTGAGTAAGATATATCTATTAATCCGAGTGCTTATTCAGTTGCTCTTTTTAAAGGCGTTCCATGAAAGCAATATTCTCCCCAAAGTGGAAAGAAATAGAGCCGAAGGTTTTTCCGAAAGACGTCTTAGGTAAATATTAAAAACAGTTTCCAGTAATTCCGGAGCCAGGCGACTTAACATTTCCGATAGAAACATGAAGAGTGGGTACGACTGGGTAAAAATTATCGGTGAAAAGTGGCACCTGGAGTATCACTAAAGGTGGTGCTTAGGTCCTTTCCAATGATAGGTGTGCTATTAAAACCTTTCAGGAAGTAACCGGTGAATAAAGTACTGCTGTTATTCGCCATTAGCAGTCTTCATTTATTTGTGTTCCGGGGAAGGAGTTCGGTACTTCACTCTTGTATCTTATGCAAGTGTTCCTAAATAGTCAAGAAGTCAATTAAGACGGCGATCTCGTTGCAGATTTTAAGGTTATTTGCGTAAAGGAGAGTCGGGATTGTAAAACCAGACCGTTACTGAACCATTAGAAGAAGAGTGGTCCAAGGATTAGGCTTCGTAGCACTCTACTTATTATGAAAAATCAATCTGATAGAGTAGTGTAAACTTCAACAACTTGTGATCTCTCGTTTAGATAATCTAAAAGCCATGTCACTAGGATCTCGCTAATACTCATTGAATGCAGTTTCTGAAACAATGCAGTGGTTGAATGTATTTCAGAAGTCTAGGAGGCCGACATGTACCGGATAGTTGGGTTTGTGAGATCGTTCAGCTATTACAAGCAGTCAACAGCTTTTTGGCACACGATCTTCAATGTTTGTCGACGGTACAAATATTCGTATGAACTTTCTCAAACACTACTGCAAGCAGGACCAAGGGAGCGTAAGGACTTAAATCCATTTTAAACTTTTCCCAGTAAAAGTAGCGAAGCGACTCATTAATAACTTCCCATGACCTTCACTATTTCAGAGAGCAATATACTCGATTAGTAATTGAACGACTCCTCTGTGCGTACAAGGGAGTCTATCCCTTTCTTTCAGCCTGAAGTTAATTTGCCCTTGATTAAAGAACCTGTGAGGAGAGTAGCAAGTAAGCCGAGCACATTACTTCAGGACCCTGGGTTAGATACTATCCAAGCTGTCGAATTTATGTAGTTTCAAGCTTCTGATGACTTTGATTCTAAGAATGTCATGGAGCTTCGTCTAACATGAGAAAATATGAAGCGGAGGTCTTCCAATAGAGATCTTCAGTTGTGATTCATCGCTACCAACTTAGAGATCTCATTCTGAAAGCTGTATACTATTAATGAATCTAGCTCCAGGATAATCTCTGTGGCGTGTACCTTATTGGTAAGGTTGTATGAAAACTTGGATTTCCATATACGTTTTAGATAAGACTAATGAGTTATTCTATCCCATTTGATTTCGTGAGTACAAGATGAAGTGAAGTATTTACTCCCAATCGAAACCTGAAAAGAGGAAAAAGCAGTTTACACGGTGTTTATTGAACATACATAGTTATTACGAATGTTCCTCACTCGAAAAAAATTCCAAGCCATGAAAATTATTCCCAGCTTTATCCCACTTCTTTTAGCGTACTAGATAAATGTGATAATGCATGTGTACGTGCAAGAAACATTAGTTAAAAGTATCAAAAATACTAAATGAACTTTAAAGCCACATGTTCTCCGGTTGTCCTTGAGCAACACAACTGTTGTCAATGGAATTCTGGAACTCGGCAACATTAAGGGGTTATTGTGGTGTTGCCGCAAGATGTTTTTTAACTAACTTGTGACTCTGTCACATCAGGCCTACAGTATTGTTGCATAAAGATGATACTTGCGTTTGAAAAGTTGGAACCAACAGTTACTAATGCAAATTGTCGTAGTATCTTTCTCTGGTGATCCTTTCTCACCTTGTCTCTCATGTGGAAGTAACCTTGATTAACGATTTCGTAAAATATCGCAAGATCTTTTCTACTGACAATACGAATTTAAATGTTGAAAGACCTCTTAACGTGTCAACCCACATCAATATAAATCTGAAGACGGTACTGGGTTCGAGTCCATAGAGTGAGCAGGAATTCTTATGTGCAGGTACACCCAGCTGATTAGCCCTATATAGGGCGAAACGCGCGCCTTGGATTCCACTGCTAACCACTGTCCACCGCTGCTAATAGTACTTATAACCTAAAGGCAATTTCGAGGCACTCTGCACAGAATGCATATATACTAAAGGAAACTGATCATTTGCAATCTTGACTATCATTGGAAAGATTCAGACTACTATTACAAAAGAGGTGATTGAAATCTCCGTGAATAAATAGTTTTTGATTTACGAACCATTCAAATCGTTTTGACTGCATGGGAGTCGGCCATCTGAAAAAGTGACGGTGAACAGCAAAAGTCGACTTCAGCAATAATGTAGAGGAAGAATAAACAACTTATGGGATTCCTAAAGAAATCTACTGCTGTTACAGAAACTAGTTTACTTCATCCATAATTTTTTCTGCCTCCATAAACATAATTATGTTGCTTTGTTTTAGAAACAATTCGACTGATCGTACGGCTTTTCTGTATGTCACGTTTAAAAGCGATACTACATAAGGAGAGTGATTCAAAAAAGTGTTCAATGAGGACGGCTGGAGATGTAGTTAAACGTGTTTTATGGGATGAAAAGATTCCTCAGAAATGTATAACAATTGGATATTTGGATAGATTTAAAGGCATTCTAGAAAAACCTTTTGATGAATTTTCTTGGGAACCGTTAGATAGTTTGGATTATTTTACTTTTGGTGTACCTGAACATCGTATTCAGTACTTTAAATATAAGGATATAGTTGTATGGGATAAACGCTTCAGACTAGATAGAGTTTTCGGTAGTAGCCGTTCAACCAAAACAATACGGGATATAATAGAAAACTATGAAGAGTATTGTCAGACTATTCAAGACATTCCTGATATTCAGCTCAGCGAAATAGTTGACAATGTTCCATTTCAATGGGACGCAAAAGCTACAGAAGACAGTTGCTCCTCAGAAAGTCAAACAGAAGGGTCGTTAAAGGAAATAACGCACCACAAAATAAAATACAAACCGAATTTCTTTATTTGTCAACGAATCGAATCTCCTGATTTCATTGAAAAGGCGTTAAAAATTCAATCGAAAATATGTAACACTCAGCCGTATTATAAAGATAGCTGTATTGACTCAAAGCTATTCCACCTTACGCTCGCAACAGTGCGACTAGAAGATAGTCTTCAAGTAAGCAAATGAATTTTCGGTGAATATTTCAGTTTTATAACGGACTTCTTTTTAGAAAGATGTGTTGTGATTGTTAAGTGAAGTTTCACAGATCTGCTAACCGACATAATACAAATTAAATGTCCTGGTTCATCATATTCGTTGAGTTTCAGCTAGAAAGTATGTCCTCAGTTAATTTTGATTATGTCTAGGCAAATTGGTCCCAAGCCATTAGTTAATAATCTTTTAGTACTTCTTTAAACTTCTGCGTCACTTCAATTATTTTATGATATAACCGAACTGTATATACATTCGTCCAGCAATATATCAATCGTAAAGATTATATCCACCACCGTCATCTCTTTACCATTATTTCATAGTACTAGAGTTAATCACTGTGGCGAGACTGTAATTGATGAATGAACCAATCAAATCAGAGACAGTCAGTCCTGAGTTTGGGTGCGAGACCCATTCATTCATATAACCGAACAGCATTTTAGCATCATAGCTGATGTCAGTCCGTGATGAAAACCCTAAATCTATTTTCTAACCCTCAATTCTAATTAAGTCCCAACTCGAATTCTCCACACTAGTTATAACCTTCTTTAGATCCTAGTGAGTAGGTGAGTTTTCCCAACGTCATTTTGGTGTTGCTTAGAGGTCGTTCATAAATTATGGTATCATCGAAACATTATGTAAAACCTTGGGAGTTTGAAAATCGGTATTAGTTACTAAATGTCAATTAATCTGAAATCCTGTTTCTCTAAGTTTGGATCCAATTGTTAACCTGATATATTTGTTCCTGTGATCACTTTCATTACTTGTTTCTCCTATTACAATTATTGTTTTGCTATTGATTATTTTATTAAACGATTGTTTGTAATTTGTAGATATCAGAGTGCATGGAAACCCTTAGACAGGCGGAAACACAACTTCGTAAATCCGCTCCAGCAAATCAACTTTCAATAAAAGGCGTGGGTAACTTTCACGGTCGAGTTTTGTATGCAGTAGTGGAGTCCAATGAAAATTTGAATTTATTTGTCGATAAGCTAAATGAGATTCTACAAATGGCGGGATTCAGTACAGATGATCGAAAAAAGTTTAAACCTCATATCTCTCTGATGAAGGTATGTGTAGTTTTGTTTTGGAAGGATATTTTAAACAATCATTGAGATCGAATAATTACTAAGCAGGTGTCTTGTGTTATTTTATAATTTTTCCAAAGTATTCACATATGTCTGTTCAGTAACAGCTAATTTAACCACAAGTATTTGGCCTAATTTTAGCTCATACGTGCCATCTACTTTTATTCTTTCTTCAAGTCTATTTAAGTTTTCATGCTTAAGCTGAATGCGTAATAAAGGTTCTAGACTTCTAAGTGTTTTTTACTCAACTGTTTGGAATAATTAAATTATGGTCTTCAGTCATGTTTAACATTGCAAACTGACTTCGTCCATATTTCTTTTGCTGATATGAAGCTTAGCATATTTACATTTATCTGACACTAACATTTCATATAAAATCGACTAATCAAACACCAGACTTATGCTTAAGATGCTGAAAAGAACTCTCATTTCTATTGCTCATTTAGTGTGACGGTGTTTTCTGGTTTCAAGTTTTTTAAGATCTTGTTGTTCAGTTATGACAGTTATTATTCAAGACCTATTGATACAGAAAGTCAACTTTAGGACATTGGTGAATGAATTGGTATTCTAAACATTGATATGAAAAAGCATGATTTAAAATTACTTTATGCGCAGTAAACCTTTCAGTAATTTCTCACTATCAAATGAATCCACACTTGATTGTCAGTAAAACGTCGCAGTATTTGTTTCATGAACGCTGACATCAAAGTTTGCTTCTGTTTTTGACTGATGTATCCCGGTACTTAGATTTATAGACAGACAGATGCAACGTAGAAATTCGTACGTGAGTACATCAGTTCATGTTGCCATACCACATCAGCACAGAGATGTAATTGTCAATTCAAATCCAATACTAGTAGAGGTACTGAGGGTATTAAAAGTAATCGGAGAGGTTAGGATTAGATATTATTCAAGAAGTATGATTCAGTGGGATAAGTTTAGGAAGACAAAACAAAGGGTGTAGAAGAATTCAGAAGATTAGGATTTGAATGAACACAGAGAATAAATGCACCTGCGCCATTGAAAACGGTTTTGAGCCATTTCATTCAGGGTATCTAACCATCGATTATTATCATCTCGCGGACCCCAACCAGGTAGTCGACAACTACTGACATGACTCAGTCCACTTGTCAATGACTTCATGGATTTCTGCCATGTTTTGGTTTGGCCGCCTCTAACTTTCTTCCAACCTATTCCTACACTACAAAACAAAGCTCTTCGAGGCAGTCGGTGGTTCGGCATACGCAACACATGTCCCAACCACCTCAACTGATGAAGTGTCACTACTGCGTCTATTGATCTACCATTCTTACCTAGCACCCGATTCCTAATAACAGCGTTGCTCACTCGGGTGTCCCACGATATACGAGCAATGCTTCGAAGACACCTATGAACGAAAACCAGTAACCTACGAATATCTTCCACTCTCACTGGCCATGTTTCACAGCCATAAAGTAAGACGGAGCGAACTGCTGCGCAGTACACTCGTCCTTTAGTCAGCAAACGGATATCTCGCCTACGCCATAGGTGACGCAGGTTGGCAAGAGCCAATCGAGCCACTTGAAGTAAGGAATTCCGGTGACAGTTCACCATAAGCTCTCACTCGACCAGTAGTGTTCGAGTAGAGAGCTTGTATGAGGTTAATGTATTTCTTTGGTAGACCTTTCAATGACAGACACTGCCACAGAACCTCACGGTCCACTTAGTCGAATGCCGCGTTAAGGTCCAGGAACACGACTATTGTCGGACGCCTAAATGTGTGTCTGTGTTCAAGCCTTCTTTATATCATTCCATCCTGCTTCCGGATGGGAATCGCTTACATGGTTGCCTAACTCTCTAGTTGCTCTTGAAATATATTCTTCGCCTTATTATCATTAAGTAAAACCCTAAGAGGCTTTCTTACGGTGTCTTTCCTACGCCCAGTAAGCTTCAAACAAATACGCGCTCGCACTAGGGCATGATCTGAATCTAAACATGTGCCCCAGAACGAGCGACAGTCCTCTATCGAACCCCTCCATCGGTGGCTGATGGCGATGTGATCTAGTTGGGTCCAATGTTGAGACGACTCCGGCGGTCTCCAGGTCAAGATATGCTTTTCCTTATGCCTAAAGTTAGTGTTTGCTAGGAATAGGCGGTTATCTGAGCATAGTTGCAACAAACGGTCGCCATTGTCTGTCCTCTGAGCTGCGACACCATAACATCCACCTAGGTGTCTTTCATTTTCACTTAGTCTACCTACTTGAGCATTAAAGTCACCAGCCATTATTACTACATCAGAGCGCCTAGCTTTTTGGAGGAGGTCCGAAAGCCTTCTGTAAAACTCATCTCTAACCTCGTCTGAACTGCAGTCAGTGGGGGTATAGGCAGATCTGACGAAGAGGCAACGACGGGTGTCCCTATCTTTCCGAGTCCTTACTGTCCCGTTTAGTCGGACAGCGCACAAGCGACTATCTACAGGGATCCAGTCAAGGAGAGATTGTTCAGCTCTACGACGCAGTGCTATGCCTACGCCAGCGAGACCCCTAGAAGCAACATCAGGGCTACCGGATACACGAAGAGTAAATCGAGTTGATTCTTTATTTGGCAAGGTGAAATCAGATTAATAATTTTACTAGGATCCTGTATGCGCGTTTCCGAGACGCAGCATACATCGATGGCACGAGTTTTTAAAGTCCTAGCTAAGGAGGCTTGTTGCCCTATTTGACACAATATCCGTACATTAGAAGCTCCAACATGTAGACTAGAACCGGGTTTCGACATCTCGCTTCGTTTGCTTTAGCGGTGCAGTGAGATAAAGGAATGTGAGTAGAGTTAGTAGTGGAGAGAAGAGAAGTATGTCTGGGTGTAGGAAGGATTTGATTTCGACCGATTTCGTCGAGTTCTGTTACGGGTATGAGGGCAGTTGTCACTTCCCGGCTGCCCACACCGTGGAAGGTTGTTTCTTGAGGGACCTGGAAAGGAAGATAGATTACTGTTGGTTTTAGAGACCCGGGAGCGTGACCACAGAGTTCAAGGGACAACAGCTTGAGGCCGGTCACGCACGGCCTTTTTATGAAGGGTTTTTTGAGTATTAGCTCCGCTCCTGAAAGCCCTTGGTGGGCACCCTTACCGCCGGAGACGGAAATCCGTGATGTAAGATGAGGTGTGACATTTTTATGATCAACCTTTACTAACCCTTTCCTTCCCTGTGAGAAGGATTGGATAAAGGCGTTAATCATCGTTCCTGCTAGTGCATCTGTTACATCGTTGTCATGACCTTTAATATATTGTATGCTAGACGTAAATTGGGAAATAAACTCCAATTGTCGAATTTCCCTCGGCGAATAGTTGTCGTGCTTGGCGTTTAATGCTTTCTTGAGGGGTTTATGATGTGTTCACTGTGAAAATGGTACCTTCAAGCATATGTCAAAATTGCTTTATCGCCCAGTAAATTGCCAGCAGTTGTCTTCCGAACGTACTATATCTCGTCTGAGTGGGACTTAATCTCTTTGAAAAATATGAAATTGGTTCCCATATGCAGTTTATGAACTGCTGTAATTCGGTCCCAACAGCGATGTTCGACGCGTCAGTCATGACGACAAATGGGGCTTCGCTTTTTTTCTGTACTAACATTGTCTTCTGATTTAGCATGCGCCTAGCGTTCTAGAATGCCTGTATGGCGTCTGCTGACAAAACGTCTGTTAACAGTTGCAATATTGTTGCGCAGTTTGGAAAGAAACGTCTATAATAGTTGATTAGCCCCAGGAATCGTCGTAGTTTGTGATTCTGGCAACGGATAATCACGAATAGCTGCAACTTCTGTTGGAACAGGTGTGATAGCTTGAGTATTTATTTTGTGTCCTAGATATTTTAGTGATTTCTTTCCGAATTCAAATTTCCCAACGTTGATGGTGATACTATGTTCCTATAGTTTATTGATCAAGCGTCTTAGTTGTTTTAGATGTTCTTCCGCTGTAGCACTGGCTACGAGCATGTCATCGATGTATATATACACGCCTGAAAACCACTGACGACCTGGTCGATGAATCTCTGGAAGGTTTGAGCTGCATTGGTTAATCCGAAGGGATAATATACAACGTCCCTTAGAAGAAATGATAAAACTATCACGGTAGATGAAGCTGTAATTAGCGTCAACCGAGTCAAAGAAGCTTTCATCGAAAGTGATGAACAGCTAAGAAGTATAAATCCTCCGACAACTTTCGAATCACTGAAATGCGAGTTCCGACCATCAGCAGCAGCAGCAACGCAGAAACGTGAAGGAAGTCCAGTAACGACTAGATATGGACAAGAGTCAAATGGCCGCAAAGAGATATGTAGCTACGATTTAAAACTGATAATTTCTTTGTTCATTTCGAATAAAAAAATTTTTCTTCGCTTCGTATTTGCAGGTCGAAAATTCTAACTTCTCACTTATTAGCTTCGATGCATTTTGTGTATTTCGATTTTTGATCTTATGTTATCATCCGACCTCACGAACGCACACGAACTCAAACTTACACAAACGAGATTACTTTATCTTTCGTAAATTTTGCTATTTTCCGATAATTTTTTCGCAAATACGGACACTTTTTTATCATTGTTGAGCTTGTATGTGCATTACTTACCACCTACGCACATAGTCATTTGACTAGCTTTATCGATTAACTGTTTAAATAATTCGATGGCAGTATCAACTATATGTATTCGCATTAGATCCGATATTTGCATCAATCATTATATATTTTAAATAACTGAAATTTTGGCAACGACTCGTGCTCTGTAGTAACGGAGATATACGGAATTCAGAAGAGAAAGAAAGTCTGACTCCACATTTTATTCCTGGTCTCCTGAAGCTGCGTTGTAAACTGTATGTTGGAGCTTTTAATGGCCTGTTGTTGTTCCAAACAGGACAGTAGGTCTCCTTAGCTAAGATTTGAGAATCTCGCGCCATTGATGTATACTGCGTCTTCGGAACGCTCCTTCAAGATCCGAGTACAGGCATTCATTTGACCTCAGCTTGCGAATATAAAGAACCCGCGACTTACCTTTCGTGTATCTAGAGACTCCGCTGCTTGTTTTCTTGGCTCCGCCCGTGTAGGTATGGCACAAGTTTTAAAGCACTCAGACTGGGATTCCAGTAGATAGCCGCCTGTGCCGATCTCTGATTCAATAAGTTGTTAAGAACTCTGCGTACGCTCCGACTAATTGCAGCTGATATGAAGAAAAGGCAAATTCCTCAAAAAGTTTTCCGACCCTAAAAAAGCTAAGCGCTCTGATGTGGTAATAGTTGTTAGTGACCTCCGAGTAAGCAATATTTGGGTTATGAATGAGTTATAATGTAAGACTGGTGAGTCGAATAATGAAGTAATTATCCTTTAATTGAGCAGTGTGTTATGTATTCCCAGCCACCGTTTACCTCGATTAGCAATGAATGCTCTCTGGTGCAGGAGCACGCCAGGAGAAAGATATGGGCGGCCAAACTAAAATATGGTATATTCCATGAAGTCATTGATAACTGGACTGAGCCACGTTATTTGGTGTAGAGTACCTACTTGGGGCATGCGAGAAACGTAAACGGTGGCTACATTTTAAACGTGGTTTTAAATCGTTTGCAATTGCGCAGATGCATCCATTCCTTGTATACTCTCAAATTCTGAATTCCTGATAAACTTTTTTCTCTTTTTAAGTTAATCTTACGGGGTTAAAGTTCTCGAGTCAAACCTTCGATCCCTAATCTTTTCTATTACGACTAATACTGCTACCTTGACTTGTTGGTCAGGTTGGCCTATCGCGATGACCGAACCGAGCTTTATTGGCAGAAACGTATGTTCCTTTAGGTCCTACTATGCCAGGCAGGTCGATTCGAGAACGGTAACATTAAAACAGTAACTCAAGGTCTGACGGCAGTCGTAACGCCAATTCGAGCAGTGACACTGTTAGACTGAACGGGACAGTAAGAACTAGTTAAGATAGGGACACTTGCTGCTGCCTCTTTATTGTCCCAGCCTGCGCTCCCACTGACTACAGTTCGGACAAGATACTGAAAGCTTTCTTATCTTCAAAAAGTTAGGCGCTCTCACATGGAAAGTTATTTCTAGCAATCAATAACTTTAAGCATAAGGGAAAACATCTTTTGATATGGCGACCCCCCAAAGTCATCCCAACGTTAGACCCAACTAGAACATTGCTATTAGCCACCTATAGAGGCTCGATAAAAGACTGTCGCCCATTCGAGAGAACATGTCTAGATTCAGATCATGGCCTGATGCGAGCGCGTATTTGTTTGAGCCTCACTGAACGTAGGAAAGACACAAGGAAACCCCTTAAAATTCTACTTAATGGTTGCATAGCTAAGAATGTATTTCAGGCGCAACTAGAAAAACAGTTAGCCTACCATCGTGAGGCAGCTTGGAATGATATCCAGAAAGCCGTGGAAACTAGTGCAGGTGCATCCATTCCTTGTGCTCTCTCAAATCCTAATCTGAATTCCTCATCTAATTCTTTCTAAAGTTATGCCACGGAATCATACTTCCTGAATATCTTAGAATCCTAATTCTCTTTATTACCGCTAATACATCTACTACTATGAGTTTAAATCGACAATTGCGTCCCTGTGCAAATATGGTATGGCAACTTGAACTGATGTACGTACTTACCGCGTTCTACGTCGCAGCTGCTTGGTTCACTGAGTCAGCAGCATTCGCAAGTTAGTTTATTCCAGTATCGATGTTGTTAATGATCAGTAACAATGAAGTCGACTTGTACTTAAATCTTCACATTAGAGTTGTTGGAGAACAATCCACTGATTAGTAAAGCTAGATAGTTTTATAATCGCATTTTAATTTTAATAATCTGATAATCAGTTGATTTTGCGTTCATTACAATAAAGCTGCATGGCAAACTAACTTATTTGTTTAAGGGAGTACATTTAGTGACCTATCCCTAATTTTAGATTACTCGATCAGTATCAAAAAAAGTCGGTGCAAAAAAATTCGATCCTGATCTGTATAGTGAATTTCTAGACAATGAGTTTGGAGTATTCGCTGTCGATTCGATTCATCTGTGTGCAATAGGAAGACCTCATAATGATGATGGTTTCTATCGTACTGTCGGAAATTTACATTTTCTAAACCCCATTTCTAAATAAGGTACTGTTTTTAAACTTGTACATGTCTTTACTATTTTTTTTCCACGACTAACCAGATACTAGTGATATTCATTTTCTATGTTAGTTGTTAATTTGGAAATATATTGTTGAATAATATTCTCAATTACTTACTTCACCAACTGGAGTTTATTCCCATTGTTTCATTATCACTTAATAATCACAGTCTGAGGGTTGATAAGAGATAAAGCCGCAAAGCATCACTTATCTGCACGCACCACGAAACCCAAAACCTTTCATTTTTCATAAACAGCCCTCTTTTAGAGTTTCCCTTGCATTTATTGTCTCCATATTAACAATATGACTGCTCATACTAGTCACTTTGTACCTATAACTGAAGACTCAAGCATACGAAGTATCATTTCCAGTCTTCTGAAATCAAGTTGTACAACAATGCCTTTTATGCCGTAATTCTATGGTCCTTTGGTCAGTCAAGTTTTATGCTGTAAACCAAGACATTCGAAACCCATGAGTATACGTCCTACTTCTTAGCCATAAAATTGAACCTCATCAGGCTAGCAAACAATATGACTCACTTTTCTGATAGGCGCTGACTGAGTTCCTAGTTTTTGTTTGAATATATGAGTAAAGCATTATCCTTCAGGATAGAAAAAATACTAAATTAAATGCTAGTTAATAATCATGTGTTCTGTTTACTTGGACGCTTTTATAATGAAATAAGACAAAGATATTTACTCGTATATTTTCCTACCGCAGTCCAAGCGATTCGAATTTGACGAAAAGTAAGAACCCTATATCGTACTATGACCAGCAATCATGAGAGCCAACCACTCAAAAGCCACTGGATAACAACCATGCACTTACTAAAAGGTGACATCTAACTCTTATTTCGTGGGATTACCTTTCATTCAAAGGGGTGTTCATCGAATGAAGCACACGTCAAATGACTTAGTTTTAATTGCCATTTAATTTTGTTACACAAATTAGTTCTTAAAAGGATTTTCTAAATCTGGCTTTGGATGGAGTGTTTGTACAAGATGATCTCGTTGGTCATAGTCGATAAACATAACTTCTATTTCAGCATTTTAGGTTAGAATACTAAGCAACATAAATAGCTTAAATACATTTCCACCTAAGATGTATTATATCTCGATAAGGTTCAGTAGACCAAGTGACTTTATGCTTTCATAGCATCAAACGAACACGATGCTAAGCAGCAATACGCTACAACTTTACACTAGCTTTAACATGAAGATTAAAATGGAAGGTGAAATTATTTATCAGGGTGCACTGTCGTATTAGCTCTCATTTTTCGCCCTTCTAACTTTGGCTCTGTGTTTTAAATCGTGAAAATAGCGATCTGTCATATTATGCAACAGCTCACATCCTAATTAAGAAAGTTGAGATAAAGCAGTCTTATATTGACGAAAATAAATCCTGTGTTTCACATCCTCATGAGTTGTTTTATCTTACGTAAAAATAATTTGCATGATCTCCAAACTTTAGAGTTTTCTTGCCAAATATCTCGTTTTCTCCTAGCCGCTTTCGATACTGCCAAGGAGTATTTATTGCGAAAGTTATCTGGCAAATCACTCAAGTACTTGTGATTGGCTATTCCATTAGCCAGTAGGTGGTAAGATATATCTTTTCTAAAGAAATACCGCTGCAACTAAAAATAAAAATGAGAAGTTACGTGTTTGTAAATTATAGCCAACAGTTCTGTATCCTCTAAAATTGGTTTCACAGGAATGAAAGTGATACGTTCTCCTGGGTGTATATTTTTGTTTACCCACTGTATACTTTGTCCAGTGTGTTGCACAGGAAATGAGATTTTTATCATATCACCTGTAAAACGTGTACTAGTTTTAAAAGCAACGTACCATATTTGGCTTGAAAGGGTACTCTAACCTTAGGCATATGAAAAATCTCCAATTCACCTGTATGTTTGACGGCGCTAACCAAACCTTTGAGATGAATTTGACGTTTGTACACACCAGATGGAATAGATTGGATGGAGTTAAATTTAGCAAACTTGATTAATAGATGTATAATAAGTCTCACTTACAATATAGTAGTACCTTGCAAGAAGATACGTTCCAACTAAGAAGTAGGCTGTAGGCAAATGCTGTGAATCATTCAGTGAAAGAAACTGGTCTTACTCTTATGACGACCAGATTTTCATCCACAAACTTCTGAAATTGATTCATCACACTAATCACGTTACGAAGAAGCAAAGTAGGGTTTTCTCTATTCGTGTGGTTGTGGATTTAGAGATGTTCTTAGTAGTTATTCTGCCACCATCTGCGTAGAAAAGTTGAGTATGATGTTTAAGAAAGCTTGTATTTATTAAGTAGATTTATTAAATGAAGCGGTTGTTGGACAAAATACAAGCGGAAAAAACACCCTTGGTATATCATGAGCTTCTCAATATGTCGAAAAACAACAAACACACCTGGTCTACTCAATTTCTCGGAAATACTATTTGAAAGCGATGCTCAGATGTTTTATGGACAAAATGACACATTTTTCTGTCGTTGACCTACGAAGATGTGATTCGTAGTTTCTCGATTGACATACATACGGGACAATATGCTTTATTTTGGCGATTGCAGCGCTACGTAGTAGTCGTCAAGTCCAGGAACAGTTCTTGGCTGTTCCTGTTTTGGACTTTACGATAATGCTACAGAAGGCTAATCTATAACCCTATTCTGGCAGTCTCCCCAGGACACTTATGTGTACTTCATAGGTCAACAGATATGGAAGAATCCCACCGATTAGTGTTCACTAAAGTTTGACAACAGGAATTTTAGAAAATTTGGATCACAAGCTTTTGAGGGTGAAAATATTTAAGAAGTTCCTTTTCCGTACTTATTTGTTTGGACACACTGAGGTATTGAAGTAAACTACTGATGTGATGGCCCGAGAATAAGCGCTTTAGTCGGTATTCCGGACGGACTTCGGCGTGTATAGAGCAAAATAATCCTCATCGGTGGCCATCAATTGCATTCTATTGGGAGGACTTACGCGCCATTTTACCAACAGTCCCGCAGGAATCTCATCAATCCGTTTAAAGCGAGCCAAATACTAAACAAAAGTTTTTTAACTGAAGTATGTGGAAGCATCATCAAGAACATGGAATTATTATTACATGCACGATGTTAGCGGAGTAACTACGAATAAGCGGTACTTATTTGCAATCTATAAGAATCTAGAGTAATACAATCTTAAGATTCTCGATGAAAAACTCCAAGGCATACTTTATGAACCGTTTGATTCATATAACTTCTCTTGAGTTACCTCTGTTGCACCGCATAAGTTGAAATTTTGGAAGCAGTTTGAACCGATGTCGATGATCCGTGAATTTGTTAAACAAAGTTTTTTACTGCTGGCTATTAGCGTTGAGGTGATCTTGAGGGTTTTCTTTATCGACTTAGTTTTTCAGTTAAGCAACTCATTTGTATTTATCCGTGCAAATCTCACTATAAATTGGACTGACATTCACAACTAGCCTAACACAGATATGCTTACATAAGGTTTTCAAATCTGATTAGCACCATGAGACCAGGATAACAAAAGCAGTAACAATTAAAAGACAATGATAAAAGGAAGAGCTCAACTATGGCTTGAAAATACCAAGATAACATGTCTATATAAGGACTCGACTCGGAAATATGTATGGAGACAGTGTGAAAGCATACACACCACTGTGGACTACTTTGAGATATATTGTTGAAATTCTAATCTCTGATCGTGGTTTATCGGTGTGATACGAGTCATGCAGCTTGCGTGTGTCAATTATTACATGGAGTTTAGTATGTCTTAGGCAGAAATCAATTCATGTACTCTAAGTTAATGAAATTTCTGATACCGACAAGAGTAATGTTAGTGGGCAGTTGCCTAGTTGGACACTTAATGTTGGATACTAATATATACAGTGGAGGTGAAATTATGTCAAAATTTTAACCTAAATAAATTATTAAACTGATCAACGAAGCAAATTAGTAACTCGGTAGATATGAACAGCAATTACACAAACATGATAGCAAACAAGATCCAATATCTTTATCACAAGCTAGTATGAACGGATCGATTTATTTGCCCTCGATTCATGTTCTTTCGGTACGGTTCCAGGTGTTTGGCAGTATGTAATGAATGGGGGTCTAGCCACTTGATTGTCTAGTCCTAGTCACTTAGCCGTTGGTTATGAGTTTGTATGTCTCGGGATTTGAATGAAAACGTTTGTTTCATGGAAGTAGGGTTTCTGGATACCAGCAGCTATCACATTACCAGACCGGAGGTCAGTTAGTTGCAGTGCGGAGAATAATAAGGAGAACATTCTAATGCTAATAAGAAGAGGATTTTAGAACCAAGTAATATATAGATAAGTTAGTTCATTAATTGGTATTGAAGATTGTGAGAGAGGACCGAAGTGTAAGCAAGGGAGAGGAAACAGAGATAATAGATAGGTTAAGTTAGTGATCTGAGGATATGGCAATAGTAACAACTAGCGGGTCTCAAGACATGCATCAGGCACAGCTTGTCCACGAGGGAGACAATAATCCGTATGTGAGTAAGTGCTCTTCTGAAAGCTGTCGACTAAGTGGAATGTGTTTACCTCGGCTTGAAGAGCATTCCAAGTTGCAACGATTCTCAATGAGAAAAGGTGTGCACGAACCTGATTTTTCGCTCTTCGATGCGCAATTTTTCGAGGATTGCCTCGAGAAGAGTGATGGTGATGCGCCAGTATGATGCTCACGTCGGGATAGTTTTGCGTGCTTTGTATGTTGTACGCTATGTGGGAGAATCTCTATCATTCGCCTATTATTTGCTCTGGTGTAGCAAAGATAGGTTTCGTGTTCGTCATGTATGAGTGTTTCGTTGGTGACCATATTGAACAAGACTGTTCCACGGTCACTAAATTCTATTTGTGTATGGACGTGAACATCCTCGACCAGGAGCTGACCATTTGTTAACAAATAATCCAGGTTTGAGGGCTTTCCCTCTTTAGTCCATCTAGTGGCACTACATACGCGCTCAGTAAGCCTAGAGCCTCTAATGACTGAGCTAAGTGGTCTCTGGAACCACTCAGTGAAGTTGTTCGCTGATGACTGAGATTGGTGTACCCTATCGCTACGGAAGAGTGTCATGTCTTGGAAGCTCATTTCATCGTATGGGGTGCTAGGGGATAACCAAGTTTCAGTTGGGATTATAATCTTCAGATCCATCTGCGAGCACATGTTCCCGATTTCTAACAGCTGACCCCTTAGTCCTCTTACGTTACTATAGAGGCACTTGGTAGTTTTTCTCAGCACCTGGTGCACCTCTGCAGCAACAGCCGTTATCAGGTTTTCAAACAAGTTTTCAAACCAGGTTGGTCACTTCTGTGGGAACTGACCTCTGCAGGTTTTTCGCCTGTGCGGTGCGTTCAGTCGGTGAGGCGATTATCTTTGTGTCTGGTTTCAGGGGCTGTTGGCTGAGGTCAATTGTCAATCCCTTGCGTTTATTTTGGCCTCCCTGCTGCTGTCTCACAGATCTAAGACTGTTTTCGCAACACCTAGTGTGTTTGGAGAGGTCGTTCTTCGGACTGTACCAAGCTCGGTGTGCCTCAGTCATGTCTTCCCAGTTCCTGAATATCACAGCTATCAGACGTGGTGACTTGATGGACGTGAGGTGTGACAGGCTAGGCGACCCAGAAATGCAATGACGCACCGTGGTGTGTAGGCCCAGGCTGCATGAAAGCCACTGGCACTGTTGCAAATCATTAACGTGAGCTCCATCCAAGCTACCATCATCGAGTTCGGACACGTTGTGAACCACCATACTGTTCTTCTCTTGGGTGTCTGGTGTTAGCCCGGCTGCCACACATACTGACTACGGTTTACCGTGCCTGATGCAGATCGGAAAGTACGATCTGATCGATAGTTTTCGGGATGAGAGGATGATATCTTCGTCAAGATGTGCCAGGTCGAGTGTTTCCCTCTTTGGAGGGGCTTTCCATTTCGATATATTCTGGCCTTTGCAAGAAAGGGCATATGTTATTGGGGTATTGCACCTTCATGGGATTGGTCGGTAATTTTCCCATTGTTCTTTGTCAAAGGCGGCCGTACTTTCTAGTAAGCTACCTTCCGACACTGGGACATTATATGGAATAAATGAATTTATTATATATTGCCTGTCCCTGAGTGGTAGCCATTTGTGAGTTGAGTTGTTACCCTTCCCCCTTTTCACATTCACGCAATGTTCCGTATTGTTAACAGATACATGGAGGTTAACAATTCCCGGTAGTTTTATCGATGTGTTGGTTGGGATTTCGGCTGCCTCAGTCACCTGTTTCATTGATTTAGTGCCAGGCGATTTGGGTTTGTCCGTTGGGACTTTGAGGCTGATTTTATATAGGCCTGTGGCTTCATCAGTGCCTCAGACACTCTGCACCTCACCATAATCACAAGCAGGGATGACTCAACTTGAAACCGTAGTACTCTTTAGGTACCGTAGTGTCTCAGTGACAATGGACCGATTTACTAAAGAAATTGCGTCCAAAATCAGAGTAACTAATTTTGGCCGGCAATGAGCAGGCGACGCAGACATCCTTGTGCGATTTTTGTACGACAGGCTGTGTCGACTGAAACGTGGGACGCCTTTTACCCCTACTTCAATTTATCCCATTGTTCTTCCTAGGATTAGGACTCAGAGGAGTCTGTTTGAGATCTAGTAGAGGTGTTTGGGTTGATTGATCTAAACTATGAACACTACTGTGAGGAGTGCTTTCGAGTGATGGTTTGAGTTTTTTAACAACTCTGTCGCTCGAGACCGGGATTTTCGATCCGCTGTTTACCTCGGATTTTATACTTCAGCAGGTTTTCCTGGTTGGTATAGTGTAAGATGTGGAGGCAACCTTATTATTAACATGATACCTGAGAGATTTCGAGATAATTAAGAGAGGAAAATACACGAAACAGGAATTCGGGAAAGAAGAATCCAGTAGAATATAGTTATAACTACGACGGAATAGAACCTGAAATTACTCCGAAAATGCAACTTTACATTTAACCGTTTGGTAAGCAAATTCGCGTGGGTCCAGCAACTTTTCCACAAGTCTTGTGTTTACGAGTGAATGAATATGTGTATACTACCAAAGCAACTAGGAGGAGTGCAGTTGATCGAGACAGCTAGACCTACCGCACAGTGGTTCTGACTTGGAATGACTCTCTTTGTCCGAGTTTGTATTCAGATTGTCAACCAGTGAATGGAGACAAATTTAGTATCTTCGGAAGTGATAAAATATCCCAATCTTGTGTCCAAAAATGGATTGTTTCCTGCAAATGAAGAGAGGTCAATGAGGCCACGTCGACTATGAATCGCGCTCGCCCTAGTGGACTGGTCAAAATAATATCGCAGTGGCAGTAACAATTGGTGAACCTGTATATACGTTTTGAAGTGATCAATAAGGGAAATTATTATTTATTAGTGTCAAAACTCCCAGGCTGTTTGCAAATAGAGGTGTTAAAAAAGAGTAGGAATGCTTTACATGCATTAATTTTCGTAATGATTGTAAGGTCTTTTTTCGAAGGTTTTGTTTTTTAAAATCCCCCCATGCGCACATTTGTAAGTTGTTCTCATTGATTCCTTCAGTTCTACATTTTGTTAGTCTATTAGGTTCCATTTTAGATTTTAATATATTTATTTTATTATACTTTCTATTTCATTTGCCTTCATTGAGTTTCTATTTTCCTTACTGAACTACATTTATGTTGTTTTAGCTGATACTTCGTCATGGCGGCAGCCATATTGATTCGTTCGTTTTTTGATCGTGTAGCTTGCTTTGACTGGAATTGTTCATTTTGATTGTGAATTGAAGCACTCTTGCAGAACAGGAAATACTCAGTGTTATAAAGTAACCACATATTATCTGTCGAACGAATCTGATCAATCCAGAAAGGATAGAATAGCGTTTGTTAACTGCTACTGATTTGAATAATTGAACAATTATTGGTGGAATAGTTGAGTGGTAATGATGTGAATTGATATTTATGATGAATATTAGAGCC